TACCTACTGCTGGATCTTAATACTGTGTAAGACACTCCAGTACCTACTGCTGATGTTATATACAGTGTAAGACACTCCAGTAACCTACTGCTGGATGTTATATACAGTGTAAGACACTCCAGTACCTACTGCTGGATCTTACATACTGTGTAAGACACTCCAGTACCTACTGCTGGATGTTATATACAGTGTAAGACACTCCAGTACCTACTGCTGGATGTTATATACAGTGTAAGACACTCCAGTACCTACTGCTGGATGTTATATACTGTATAAGACACCCAGTACCTACTGCTGATGTTATATATGTAAGACACTCCAGTACCTACTGCTGGATGTTATATACTGTATAAGACACTCCAGTACCTACTGCTGGATGTTATATACTGTATAAGACACTCCAGTACCTACTGCTGGATGTTATATACTGTATAAGACACTCCAGTACCTACTGCTGGATGTTATATACTGTATAAGACACTCCAGTACCTATGCTGGATGTTATATACTGTATAAGACACTCCAGTACCTACTGCTGGATGGTTATATACTGTATAAGACACTCCAGTACCTACTGCTGGATGTTATATACTGTATAAGACACTCCAGTACCTACTGCTGGATGTTATATACTGTATAAGACACTCCGTACCTACTGCTGGATGTTATATACTGTATAAGACACTCCAGTACCTACTGCTCGGATGTTATATACTGTATAAGACACTCCAGTACCTACTGCTGGATGTTATATACTGTATAAGAACACTCCAGTACCTACTGCTGGATGTTATATACTGTATAAGACACTCCAGTACCTACTGCTGGATGTTATATACTGTATAAGACACTCCAGTACCTACTGCTGGATGTTATATACTGTATAAGACACTCCAGTACCTACTGCTGGATGTTATATACTGTATAAGACACTCCAGTACCTACTGCTGGATGTTATATACTGTATAAGACACTCCAGTACCTACTGCTGGATGTTATATACTGTATAAGACACTCCAGTACCTACTGCTGGATGTTATATACTGTATAAGACACTCCAGTACCTACTGCTGGATGTTATATACTGTATAGACACTCCAGTACCTACTGCTGGATGTTATATACTGTATAAGACACTCCAGTACCTACTGCTGGATGTTATATACTGTGTAAGACACTCCAGTACCTACTGCTGGATGTTATATACTGTATAAGACACTCCAGTACCTAGTGTTGTAAGTATTCCAGGGGTTGCACAACGCCTGAAGGGTGGAACTTGAGCAAGTTTCATCCAAGGGGAAGGGTTGATCCAATTCCTGGCATCAAGAGCTCTTCACCTGCATCAAGGCTTCGCCCTTGAACACTTCGTCATAGTCTCCCTTAACTTCATCTTTAGTTTTCAATCGTCCTCTGTATTCAATTCGTTAATATATGGGTGCCAATTCTCCACCCCGAGTATGTTCTACGTCGTGATCATATCACCTCCGAGTCTCTGCCTCACTCACGTTTATCCCCTGTGGGAGGTACTTAATGCCCCCTCGTTCACCCCCTTGTGGTATTTGCTTAGTGCCCCCTCGTTCATTCCCTGTGGTAGGTGCTTAGTGCCCCCTCGTTCACCCCCTTGTGGTATTTGCTTAGTGCCCCCTTGTTCATCCCCTGTGGTATTTGCTTAGTGCCCCCTTGTTCACCCCTTGTGGTATTTGCTTAGTGCCCCCTCGTTCACCCTCTTGTGGTATTTGCTTAGTGCCCCCTCGTTCATCCTCTTGTGGTATTTGCTTAGTGCCCCCTTGTTCATCCCCTTGTGGTATTTGCTTAGTGCCCCCTCGTTCACCCCCTTGTGGTATTTGCTTAGTGCCCCCTCGTTCACCCTCTTGTGGTATTTGCTTAGTGCCCCCTCGTTCATCCCCTGTGGTATTTGCTTAATGCCCCCTCGTTCACCCTCTTGTGGCATTTGCTTAGTGCCCCCTCGTTCACCCTCTTGTGGTATTTGCTTAGTGCCCCCTCGTTCACCCTCTTGTGGTATTTGCTTAGTGCCCCCTCGTTCACCCTCTTGTGGTATTTGCTTAGTGCCCCCTCGTTCATCCCCTGTGGTATTTGCTTAGTGCCCCCTCAGTTGAGGACCAGTACCGTGGTCCCAGGACCCGTTGAAAGGTCCGACGTGCGCCCGTGCGTGCGCGCGTGCATGTACTCACATAGTTGTGGTTGCAGGGGTCGAGTCACACACACTGTGCGCGTGTGTGTGTGTGTGAGAGAGAGAGAGAGAGAGAGAGCGCTGAGTCAGTGGAAGGGTGACTATGTTAATACACACACACTCACCATTGGCTACTGGAACCGTAACAAGCCTGAAGGAGGAGGGAGGAGAGGTTACCTGTGCATAGTTCCAGGAATCATGGTCTCCACGGCCTGGTCCCAAACCAGGCGTGCCCTGGTCCGGGAGGGATGAATGAGTGGATACCATGAATGGTTACACTTACTACTACTACTACTACTACTACTACTACTACTACTACTACTAGTGACACTAGTGGACCACGCCCACCTGTAGTCCCACTCGTTTGTGTGTGTTTTTATCAGATGTATTTTAAAAGTTAACAATATTCTCCTCCGCTTAAAGAAATGCTGAGATTAGTGGGGATCATCAGTTGGAAAAAAAAGAGGCAATCGACACGTTTCGCTCCCCCCTCCCCCTTCCTGTTGAAGAGAAACGTTCAACAGTTGTTGTGGTAGAGGAGAGTAAGATGGTGGTCCTCCTCCCGCTTCTTGGTGCCGCTTGTTTATCTGTTTTTATGTAACTTGTTTAATTTATTTCTTGTTATAGTATCTGTTCTGCACTTAATATTACCACCCCAGGAACAATATTACCACCCCAGGAACAATATTACCACCCCAGGAACAATATTACCACCCCAGGAACAATATTACCACCCCAGGAACAATATCACCACCCCAGGAACAATATTACCACCCCAGGAACAATACCACCCCAGGAACAATATTACCACCCCAGGAACAATATTACCACCCCAGGAACAATATTACCACCCCAGGAACAATATTACCACCCCAGGAACAATATCACCACCCCAGGAACAATATCACCACCCCAGGAACAATTTTACCACCCCAGGACAATATCACCATCCCCAGGACATATTACCACCCAGGAACAATTACCACCCCAGTGAACAATTTACCACCCCAGGAACAATATTACCACCCCAGGAACAATATTCACCACCCCAGGAACAATATTACCACCCCAGGAACAATATCACCACCCAGGAACATATTCACCACCCCAGGAACAATATACCACCCCAGGAACAATACCACCCCAGGAACAATATCACCACCCCAGTAACAATGTTACCACCCCAGGAACAATATTACCACCCCAGGAACAATATCACCACCCCAGGAACAATATCACCACCCCAGGAACAATATCCCCACCCAGGAACAATATCACCACCCCAGAACAATATTCACAACACCCCAGGAACAATATCACCACCCCAGACTTTAACCAGAATATTACCACCCCAGGAACAATATCACCACCCCAGGAACAATATCACCACCCCAGGAACAATATCACCACCCCAGGAACAATATCACCACCCCAGAATGTTTCACAATACCCCAGGAACAATATCACCACCCCAGAATGTTTCACAATACCCCAGGAACAATATCACCACCCCAGATGTTTCACAATACCCAGGAACAATATCACCACCCCAGAATGTTCACAATATCCCAGGAACAATATCACCACCCCAGAATGTTTCACAATATCCCAGGAACAATATCACCACCCCAGAATGTTTCACAATACCCCAGGAACAATACCACCACCCCAGAATGTTTCACAATACCCCAGGAACAATATCACCACCCCAGAATGTTTCACAATACCCCAGGAACAATATCACCACCCCAGAATGTTTCACAATACCCCAGGAACAATATCACCACCCCAGAATGTTTCACAATATCCCAGGAACAATATCACCACCCCAGAATGTTTCACAATATCCCAGGAACAATATCACCACCCCAGAATGTTTCACAATATCCCAGGAACAATATCACCACCCCAGAATGTTTCACAATACCCCAGGAACAATACCACCACCCCAGAATGTTTCACAATACCCCAGGAACAATATCACCACCCCAGAATGTTTCACAATACCCCAGGAACAATATCACCACCCCAGAATGTTTCACAATATCCCAGGAACAATATCACCACCCCAGAATGTTTCACAATATCCCAGGAACAATATCACCATCCCAGAATGTTTCACAATACCCCAGGAACAATACCACCACCCCAGAATGTTTCACAATATCCCAGGAACAATATCACCACCCCAGAATGTTTCACAATATCCCAGGAACAATACCACCACCCCAGAATGTTTCACAATATCCCAGGAACAATATCACCATCCCAGAATGTTTCACAATACCCCAGGAACAATACCACCACCCCAGAATGTTTCACAATACCCCAGGAACAATATCACCACCCCAGAAATGTTTTCACACTTGAGTCCTTCAGTCCTCACAGTCCTCAGCAGACCACGTGATTACCTTCACATCAACTTAGATCCCTCCTACCACCTCCTCCCTGATCACCTCCACGGACACTACCTAGGGCTGGAGTTGTTGGAGGAGGCGTACCTAGGGTGGGAGTGCCGGAGAGACGTACCTAGGGTGGGAGTGCTGGAGAGACGTACCTAGGGTGGGAGTGCTGGAGAGACGTACCTGGGGTGGGAGTGCTGGGGAGACGTACCTCGGGTGGGAGTGCTGGAGAGACGTACCTAGGGTGAGAGTGCTGGAGAGACGTACCTCGGGTGAGAGTGCTGGAGAGACGTACCTCGGGTGAGAGTGCTGGAGAGACGTACCTAGGGTGGGAGTGCTGGAGAGACGTACCTAGGGTGGGAGTGCTGGAGAGACGTACCTAGGGTGGGAGTGCTGGAGAGACGTACCTAGGGCGGGGGTCTTGCAGCGGAGCTTCTTCTGGAAGACCTCGTCCACGTCACTAAGGGCCAGGTTCCAGTGTTTATCGAAGGCCACCACATATCCGCTGAGCATACTACGAACTTCACAGTGGTTCCTCACGTATACCTGTGTGAGGACTGCTACTGTCACTCTTGTGTACACACACACACACACACACACACACACACACACACACACACACACAGAGTGGTACCTGGAGATTTTAACTATAAAGACATAAATTAGGCTGTGAGGCTGGAACTGCAGATTTCCTCAATATAATGAATGAGAGGTTTCTTGTACATCATCATCATGTACATGAAGGGACAACAGTACACTCTCAATATTAGTGTTTACTTCAACAAAGGAGGAAATTTTTCAATATAACTTACTTAAACCCACTTGGAAAGTGTGACGTTGTTGTGTTAGAAATAACATGCAGTGAAATGTGACTTAGGAAATAAAATTCATGAACAGGAACGACTAGATTGTTAGAAAGGGAATTCCAATGTTTTAAAAACAGTATTTTAGAGGAATTAACTACAGTAATAATTTACAAATAATCTGAACAAAGAGTTCAATAGTGTTATGAAAATGGAATTAAAAACTTCATTACAAATAGGAATATAAGACAGAATAATAAAGAATTATTTAATGGAAGATGTTGTAGAACTATGAAGAATATAAAGATGTTGGAATCAGTATAAGAAGCAGGTAATCAGTAAACTTATCAGAGATTCAAGGAAGCTAGACATGAATATACAAATGTAAGGAGAGAGGAAGAAAGATATTTTGAAAAGGAAATAGACAAGAACAAGGTAGAGCCAAAACCTTTCATTTGTTTGTAAAAAGTAAAGTAAAATATTAAAGACAAAATACAAAGAATAAATAAAAGGGTGCCCTTGGTGTAGTGGTGTACAAACTGCGGCACTACTACGGGAGCCACTGCCAGGTCACCATATGGAGAAGACCTGAACCAGGAACCGTCCTGGCAAATCTACATCAACATGAAATGAAGAAGGTAGAGGAGAAAATGTGTTAAGTATTGAACAAAAAGTTTCAGTGTGTGTTGACAAGAGATGTTTCTGATGTAGCAGGTTTTTATCGCAGACAAACTGTATAACAGAGCCATGAGAGTATCAGACAGGAAGGGAACTAGGAGGAGTTATTAATAAATACGTCACTGGAAGATCAGAACAGTAAAGTTGTGAGAAACTTTTATGTTACGCTGGCAAACTATAAAATAACTTTCAAATGTTAAAAAAGTTGTTTATAACTTATATTAGGACAGAATCGGAATATGCAGTGGTTGTGTAGTGCCGGTTATCTGGTAAAAAACACAGATAATATAGAAAATTTTCAGAGATACAAAATAGCTGCCAGAGTTGAACAATATGAACTATGATGAAAGGTTGAAAACATTGAAGATGTGTATGTTGATTGATAGCAAGAAAAGAAGAGACGTGACTAAGAACATTTCTTAGTAACTGGAGCAGCGATAACAAGAGTTGCAGAGTATCGAAGACTGGGCAGGAAATGATAGAATATTTTTCTTCTTAGAGCAGTTTGATCAGTGGAATGTATTAGAGGAGGGAATTAGTAAGTGATGCAACCATTACAAATTTATATATATATATATATATATATATAATATATATATATATATATATATATATATATATTATATATATATATATATATATATATATATATAAAATGAACAGAGTATTGAAGATGAGACTCGACGCACATAATTCTGCTACTGTAGCTACTAATAGGTAATTACACACACACAAAACACACACACACACACACACACACACACACACACACACACACACACACACACACAATCAAAATTTCATGAATTCAGTACCCTGACACCCACACCGAGCTCAGGTGTGGGTGTCAGGTGTGTGGGTGTAGTTACCACCCACACTACTCACCCTACACTACCTATACTACCCACTTCCCAGCAGCAGTAGACCAACTCTCTCACCATAAGTGTAGTGTCCTCGGCCTTGCTCCCCCTCCCACCCCTCCCTTCACCCATCCCCTTCCCCATCTTAATCACCAAATTTCTTCGGCATTGAGACAGCACCACAAGCAGGAGCATGAAAAGCAACAGCAGCGCCACCACCACCACAGAAAAAAAAGCAGTAACAGTAGTAACACTTAGCAGCAAAATCAACATCAGTAGCAGAAGAAGCAACAACAGTAGTAGCAGCAACAGGAAATAAACTGCAGTAGCATTAGCAGCAGCAACAGAAACAGCAGAAAAAAGTAGTAGCATTATGAACAGCAGTGGCAATAGCTACAGCAACAATAATACAATAGTTTTACTACAACCATCATCATCAGTGACAAACAACAACTACTACCACCAACTAACCGCCACCACCACTACCGTCACTAAGAGTCAATAAACAACAACAACCGCCACCAATGGCAGCAGCATCAACAAGTCAAGAAAGCATCATCGCTACCAGGATAAGAAATAAAGCTCTGGAATCACTACTGTCAGCCCCAGCACAATGACGATATATCCTTGTAGCAGCTCTTAACTACTGATGCCATTAACATCGACATTATGAGCGAGAGGAGTGGAGTGGGGGATAATGAGAGGGAGGAAACAAGAGGAGGGGGGAGGTGAAGATAGCTCCCAATTTTTTAGCTTAATTATCATTAGTACAGGGAATACTTTGTTCCCAAGACTGGATACATCCAGCAGCAGGTACTGGAATTTCTAGCATATATTTCCCCCTCCCCGGGATACAACCCACAACATTGGGCTCAGACGCAGAAGAGGATGGAGAGGTACAGCGAGAAAGTTATATGCTATGCTGACAAAGTTTATAGTAGTTTTCAGATACCTAGCTAAATGTTGGAATGTGTTCCAGGAAAGTGGCTCATATTATAACATTTGAAATGGGTTCCAGGAGGGTGGCTTATAATCTCTGCAATGGGTTCCAGGAGGGTGGCTTATGTTATTACCAGGGATGGGACTATACCAATACTGATAAGCTTTCAGTATATTTAATTACATAATTAATGATAACTGTGTTCAGTATACGAGGCAATGATTACTGCTCATTAGGTATATTTAAATCAAGAGACGTTAAATACTGAATTAGCATAATTTCTTTGAGAAGTCAGTGTTATTACCAGTTACAGGCGCCCCTTTCAGGCTTATAAACTGAAAAAAAAAATCGGAATGTGTCTGCATAGTAATTTGATGAGGACAAAAATCAACCACGAAAATGTAAGTCTGAATAATTTACAGTGTTAAAATGAAACTTAAAAATTCAACACACTGAAAATACTACTTGTTTAAAACTTTACAAAACAACTGGAAATCTAAAATTTAAAATAAGAGTTTAGAACTTGCCAAACCTCGCTCCATTATTAAACTGAATTAACTAACACGTTTCCATTATACAGTTTAAACTTTTTATTTTGTTTAAACTTGAAGAAACACATTAAAAATATATATATATACATTAGTCTAATACCGTAAATTAAAAATAAACAAGTAACCTACATTAATCGGTAAAATTAAAAATTCTCAAACGGAAGTTAAGGAAGATGATCACGTCATTGTCGTCAGTTAACTTAGTTATAAACAGCACTGGTGACAACTGTCACAGTGAGCAGTGAAGGGGACAGGGCGGGTGAACTCACATATTTACTGTTACCCTGGCCACACAACACAGGGGACAGGGCAGGTGAACTCACATATTTACTGTTACCCTGGCCACACAACACAGGGGACAGGGCGGGTGAACTCACATATTTACTGTTACCCTGACCACACAACACAGGGGACAGGGCGGGTGAACTCACATATTTACTGTTACCCGGGCCACACAACACAGGGGACGGGGGCGTAACCCAAATATTTACTTTTTCCCTGGCCACAAAACCCAAGGGGACAGGGCAGGTAAATAAAATTTTCTGTTACCCTGGCCACACAAACAGGGGACAGGGGGGTGAACTCACATATTTACTGTTACCGTGACCCACAACAAGGGGAAGGGCGGGTAAACTCACATATTTACTGTTCCCTCCCACACAACACGGGACGGGCGGGGAACTACTATTTTTTGTTACCGTGCCCAACACAAGGGGACAGGGCAGGGAAACCACATTTTTACTGTTACCCTGACCCCCCAAACGGGGGGACGGGCGGGTGAACTCACTATTACTTTTACCGTGACCCCCAAACCAGGGGACAGGGCGGTGAACTCACAATTTACTTTACCCTGACCACACACACGGGGGCAGGGCGGGGGGAACCAAAATTTTACTGTTCCCTGACCACAAAAAAAGGGGGACAGGGCGGGTGAATACGATTTCTGTTACCCGACCACACAACACAGGGGACAGGGCGGGTAAATCACATTTTTACGTTACCGTGACCACACAACACGGGGGACAGGGCGGGGTGAAACTCACATATTTATTTTTTTTCCCTGACCAACAAACGGGGGGACAGGGCGGGGGGAACTCACATTTTTTATGTTACCGTGACCACCAACACGGGGGACAGGGCAGGTGAACCAAATATTTACTGTTCCCCGGGCCCACACAACACAGGGGACGGGCGGGTGAACTACATATTTACGTTACCTGACCCACAAAAGGGGGAAGGGGGGGTGAACTCACAATTTACTTTTTTACCCTGCCCACAAACACAGGGACAGGGGGGGTAATCACTATTTACTTTACCGTGACCACCAAAAGGGGGACAGGGGGGGTAACCAATATTTACTGTTACGTGAACACAACCAGGGGGAAGGGCGGGTGAACTAAATATTTACTGTTACCGCACCAACACAGGGGACAGGGGGGTTTTAACTCACATTTTACGTTACCGTGACCACACAAAAAGGGGGACGGGGCAGGTGAACTCAAAAATTTTACTGTTTCCCTGGCCAAAAACACAGGGGACGGGGCGGGTGAATTTACTATTTACTTTCCGGCCACACAACACAGGGGACAGGGCGGGTGAACCACATATTTACTGTTCCCCTGCCACACAACACGGGGGACAGGGCGGGTGAAATCACTTATTTACTTTTTACCCCCCACAAAACACAAACAGGGGGACAAGCGGGTGAACTCAC